TTCCTTGCACCATCTGGCACTTTATCCATTTGTTCCTAATAACTATTTAATGATATTGAAATGCTACATGAAAACACTTTGTAAGAGACGAGTTTCTATGAGGTTGTGAAAGCATGGTGTCTCTGAATTTCCACCAATGCATTCATACAGATTCAAACAGATTCTGCACAACTGTCTCAAAAAACACAGAAAATCAGAGATTAAAAGGATAACAAATGGACTGCATGCTCATATATAAACTCAACTTAAAACGTGAGGGACAACTGAAAATGAACATAAAAAGAACCAAGCTATGGAGGCATGCGACGGACTCAGAGGCGGGGTTACCTGGTAGTGGGCGTGGCTATGAGAATAGAGAGAAGAGAAAGGCGGGGCTGGGACTTCATTCAGCCTCTCCCCCTCTGGGTGTCGCCACCCCTCGTCATCATACGGACCCTCGGGTGATTCTACCTACGATGCATAGACAGATCTCAGCATGGTGCAACACACACACATGTGCAACACACACACACACATACACACTCTCTCTCTCTCTCTCTCTCTCAATCTCTCTCGGCTAACTTTATATTTTAATATGTAGGTCCTTCATGCCACTCGTAGTCAAGGACAGATTATACATTTCAACCATTATTGTGATAATACTATATTTACAAATAATTGCCTAACAAAGTGTTACCTAGAGAAGAAGGGACTTTTTAAGCCTAGTTCATTTCTGCTTTAATATGTAAGAAAATACATCATTTTCAGATAAAATCAGATACTGCAGTGTTTGGAGAATTGCATGGGCAATGTAAGGGTAGTCTTATTGCATCTGTTATTACTTGTTCTTTCTTTCTTATAGTAGAATCAAGCGACTGCCTTATACAGTATGCATGAGGAATAACAATTGCTGAAATGTGGGAACATTAAAATAGATTTTTTTCATTACAGAAAACAGGTCAGAAAGTTGGGTAAACTAGCTTTAACAGCCACACATTAACTTACAACTGAATGTACACGTTTTCATTGGCCTACTATTTTTAATATGGTCATACTGTACAGAACTACATGTTGACCCAATATGCAGTTGCATTTTGGCTTTGTAAGATTAAAGGTAAACAAATAAGTACTAGTACTATAGTCACAAGATGATATATGTGTGTGTGTGTGTGTGTGTGTGTGTGTGTGTGTGTGTGTGTGTGTGTGTGTGTGTGTGTGTGTGTGTGTGTGTGTGTGTGTGTGTAAGAAGCAGGGAACATGCCCATGGGGAGAACAAGGTGGCAGGTCCATCTGTCATACAGAAGCAAGCCAAATCCTGGCTTGCTTCTGTGTACACACACACACACACACACACACACACA